ATTTAAAAGAACACAATCGCGAGTGTCCATATCACAACAATTTGATTTGCATACTTCAACTTCCTCAGCAACACATACAATAATTTCGAAAATATTTTAAATGGATGTAAGAAAGGCCTTTGTCGTCAAAATAATTGTGGTGCGCGACCTAAGCACGAGGTCCTTCGCATAGCTGTCATTTTAAAGGCAGGAACGTGGGCGGGATAATCTGGCCTAAAACGTCCGAAGATGACCGCATTTAACAGGGAAAATATATCATCCTACATACTTTCGCCGATAATATGCACTGTAACAATCAAAGACCGGTGATATACTCATAGCACATGATCGTTAATTACTGAAGTTTTATTAGTAATATGTAATCGCGTTACTTCTAAACACTGACGGGGGTTTTCTTCCGAGCACTTGATTTTTCGTTCAAGGCAAACACTTTCACCCAAAATTCTGAACACCCCACCTATTTAATAGGCATCCCTTAAATCTATTAGGAGGTTTAGGGCCGGCCGTAGCCCCTGTCGAACGAGTTACACACTTCTGAAAAGATAACTGGCTTTTAGGTCTTACTACAAAGCTAGGTACGGTCCAAGCAAATAGAAAATACTCCCTACCTAGCTACCTACAATGGTTGATTTGAACTGACCCGACTAGATGGCGATAGAGAACGGTCAGCAAAGTTTGCTTTCCTGAACGTCCAGTCATCGCCATAACCGTGATAAAGTGAAGCAGCTGTAGTCCACACGACTGATTAAGTGGAATTCCGTTCAGAAGTGGTGCTTTGTGAAATCATCGTAAATTGTCTATCACAGGAGGCTCCAGGCGCATTTGCGGCACCGTAAGCCGACATGTGTGCCTTGAATTTATCATGCATTACCAACTCTCATGTAGGTAGGGTTGGAATCAACGCGAATCTGAAAGGCATGCTCTCCTCATTTAAGGGAATTAAAAAAAATAAAATTCGCATACCGTTATGCCTAAATTGTTAAAAGGTAAATACATTTCCGTTTTGCAAATTTGCCGTTTAGTAAAACCATTGTGTTCAGCAACGGCTTCAGCACGTCGTTGTTAAGAACAAATAAAAGGAAGGGAATTATCCTCCTTTACCTATGTGCCAATTCAGAAAGAGAGAGGCAGATAGACAGAAAAACCAGGCAATGTGATTTCAAAAAGCAACGTCTTTGCTGCATACGTCTATCATAATTGGTAGAAAAAACTGCATCTCCGCATTCCAGCATCTTAATTAATCTCACAGTGTCTGGTGTAAGCGGTACAGGCAGATTCTTGTATCCGATGAAGTTTTCCATGGGGAAGGCTCAAGAAAGCGGACCAAACCAGATGGTGTTTGCGCAAATACGTCAAGCGGGCAAACCTCTCCATTTTTAGCAGTTGAACTGTGTGCGAGGTTGCAAAAAATTGAAGCAGATAGCGCACAGGAAATTTATAATTGTGTAGACAGTAGACTGCTCCCCTTTCTTACGCAAGGACTCTGCCTTCAATGGGACTTTCTGCGGCAGTAAATGTAAAAAAATAGACTTTAAGAGTAATTCTCCCTCCCTATCCTCTGCCGAGTAAATCAGGCAATTAGCGACAGTCCTGTAATTGGGGAAATTTAAGCCGATAGGGTTAAGGTAAATACAAACACCGTTTCTGGCCACATAGCCATCGTCTGCCAAACATTTCCAAATTACAAGCAGGAAGGCGCCGAAATTTGACCATGGCCTTTGGAGTTTAACCACGGGATCCACTTTTCACGTCTTTAAGGGGTAATATTCCAATTTTCATTGGCGGGTTGCTCCTTGATTTTGTTTCACTGCAGACGGGAGTGAACAGATCTGACATTTTCTTTAGAAACCCCAATCTTTAACCCTCACGACCGTGGTCCTAAACGGATTTGGGAGGTAGTTTTGACAGAGACGAGAAGGATCAGTTTGCTCCTCTTTATCATGCAGGGACTGCGAAGGTTAAGATTTAGAGTTTAGTCGATAAGTAAAAGAAATCAGTGTGCGATGTCCAGCGATTTTGAGCCAAAGTCTCGTAGACACCTAAAATACCCTACCGACTGAAGCTGTCGACGACGACCACAGGATGAAAAAGATTTTGTCCGTCCAGTAAAAGAAAAGGCAGCCATGAATTTGTATCATCATCAAAGTTGTCGCTAAAGATATCGACCAAGAATGCATGCAGGACTTGCATACAAGCATTGTGTGGGATACTAAAATGCATGGCAGGGACAATATTCGATTCTAGAGTCTAAGGAGGTACTCCTGCGTAATTACATAGTTTAATTTAAAAATGATGCAAACTCGTCTATTTCAATACCACAGGGTAAGCTGAAAGTCCCCTCAAAGTCTCTTTAACAGGTTCTGGTTTAGGCCACAAAAACTGGCACAGAGTTAAATGAGTAAAGCTTTTTATGGTTACGTTCTGCTAAGCGATGGCCAGAGTATTAACTTGGGTCTTTACTTCCTCGGTATTCTTTAGTATTTAAGACTGAAAACTAACCGCAAACAAGTCTCCCATTAATAAGTTAATGTTACCGGATTCTGTTTCACGAGAACATGCCTAACGTTGTAAATACTGGCTTATGAACAGTTACTGATTAATTTGAACACAGTCGCCTTTGGGGAAAATTTGTTTAACCGATTTATCCCAATATGAAATTCTTTTAATCTATTAGGACGTTTACATTTCTTAGAAATGCTAACCAAAAGTTTGAACCATGTCTTGGATTAGAAATTAGTACTAAGGTAGAGTTGTATGATGAATTATCGTGCAATATATTGGTGTACTATTTCCATCCAGCTTCTTGTCGATCCCATGCGAAAAATACGCCTAGTAAAAATGACTGCATAAATAGTATTTATTTTCCAATTCATGTTTTCAAATATAATTTGCAGAAAGGCCGCCCACATCTTCAAGTTTTTTAATTAATGAAGGGATAATATTTAGGTTTAAAAATATTTTTTACTGTAGAGAATACATTTAAACACGGATAGCATTCCTGACAAAGACAAGGGAGGCTGGAGTGGCCAGTGATAGCCAATTCCAAGAGGTGCACCACTCGAGGTTCGAAATTGCGACATTTCTGATCAGTGTTTAACGCCCTATCTATTAAACTGACAGCTCGCCGTCTTACTGATTTATGTTGGGAGATATTGGTACCACTAGCGGAACTCACTTTTTCTCTATCGGGCGTCATTTTTCGGGCCCTGCCAGCAGTCATA